ATGCTGGGCCTTTGATCTTTATTGTAAAGTAGTTTTAATATGGCTGAGTAGGGGGAGGAGTGTAGGAAGTTGAGGCCTACCAGGCCCAGAGGAGCCAACCTGGAATCTGACTGGTACTGTGAGAGGTTCTGATCATGCCTAGCCAATGAGGCACCAGGCAGTCTCCAGGTTGGCTCCTCTGGGCCTGGTAGGCCTCAACTTCCTACAGCGGAGCATAGGGGGGATGGGATAAAGGAGTTACAGAGGGAATTTTGCTGCCAGCCTGGAACTTAGGACCTTGTCTACTAATGCAGAAGATGGCCCTGCTTTTTCTTCCCAGTTTTGATGGAAGTCAGTTTCCAGAACGACGAAGGACAGCTGGTAGTGGTGCTCTGTGCCAGAGGTTTGCTGTTGCTGTTCAGACTGTGAAGGGGGTACCTTCCTGCAAATGGTCTGCGCCGCTGAACTCAAGGGCCTTTCCGAGGCCTGCTTTGCTCAAATTCCTGATTGCTTCCAGGTAAACCAATCTCATTTTTGTCTAGAAGAAATATAGGGTTCTCTAACACTGTGGCAGCCTCATATATGACCTATCATAGTGACTCTCGAAGTAACAGAAGACAATGAAATAGTAGAAGTTCATTACTGGGCCTGGGGCAGAGAGGACGAAGCTACTGAGGAGACTTGCGGATGAAGTTGAGGGCTCTGTATGGTTTAACCTACAGTGTTTATTTATGAGAGTGGGGTATTGACCAAGGAAAGATTATCGTGGTGGTGCATGACAAAAGGTCCCAACAAAACTGCGGCTGCATGAGTCACCTACCCTAGGCTTTATATGTCTCATTTTGTCCCCGTGAGCAGTTTGCTTCTATGAGGTAAATTTTACTTCTAACAAGGAGAGGTCACAATGTGCACGTTAGTATAAGTTGACACGGTGCCTTCCTTCCTGACTGGCAGATCCCCAGCATTTACTAGAACAGAGGAAAAGATGAGCGAAATGGGACCCCCAAACATGGACTCAGTCTACACTCACTACCCAGCTAGGAAATTGCCCTCTGCTCTCTTCTTCCTCTAGACAGTTATGTGGCTAAATGTGATTGATTGCAAAATCCCCAAAAGTCCTGTTTCAAAGAAAGTCTTGTGATTTTTCTGGAAGATACCTCTAACTCCTTCATATCCCTCAGCAAATGTTTATATATCACCCCTTATCTTGTGTGCACTGGTTCAGTATGGAGAGGGTAAGCAAGTGTGGTGGCTTGAAAGAAAACCACCCCCAAAGGGAGTGGCACTATTAGGAGGTGTGGCCTTGTTGGAAGAAGTGTGCCATTGTGGGGGTGGGCTTTGAGGTCTCCTTTGCTCAAGCTACATCTACTGATGCAGTTCACTTCCTGCTGCCTGTGGGTCGAGATGTAGAACTCTTAGCTTCTTCTCCAGCATTATGTCTGCCTGCATGCCATCATGATGATAATGGACTAAGCCTCAGGAACTGTATGCCACCCCAATTAAATGGTTTCCTTTCTAAGAGCTGTAATCATGGTGTCTCTTCACAGCAATAGAAACCCTAACTAAAACAGCAATGAAAAAAGGGGGCATTAGACTTATAGGGCGCAGTAAGAATACTAGATGTTCCTACGAAGGAGGGGACCCACTAGTACAAGGTGGCATGAGATTGTTTTCAAATAAAGGAAAGAGCCAGTGTGGTACAGGAACATAGAGGTTCGTAGCTGAGAAGGCCTTAAGAAGCCTCCCAGGTGCTTAGCTAGGAGAATGGGATACAAAACAAATCAGGTTTGATGACCTTGGTAAGATGGACTGAGTAGGAAACAAACTGAACTTCTTTTCTAAATTTCTTAGGCCTGTTGTTACCAGGGAGTTCATCTGTCTTCTATTCTTGGATGCATCTCATATTCTTTGTGCTAGGATTCTAAGATTTCCAGAGAAGCAATGAGGCCAAGTGTAGGGCTTTTAAAACTCCCTTTCACCCATGAAATTTTTTCCAACCCAGGTGTACAGGTATATAATATAGGTATACATATATTAAGTATTTGCTGATACTAATAAATAAATTTAGTCTAAAAAGATCTACTTTATTAAAGATGAGACCAAATTTGCATACTAATAAGATGAATGTCCTTGCTTATATTTATATAAAGAATTAAATCTTTACTGAATATTTGATGCTGCAGAATATAGATCATTTTTGGTGATTTTGAGAGTTGAACAATATTTTACTTTTATAATCACCAGTGCTGAGAATGCTGCTATATATAACTACATAGTATGCAATGGCAGAATTATGTTTAGGACTATTTAAGAAACTGTTGGATATTCTCTGCTGATCCCAAGCTAAAATCCACTAACAGATTTTTTTTAATGAAATAGCTCAGTGAACAGCTTTTAAAATCAAACATTTTAACAATCGAATCCCAAGATATACTAATTTAATGCTTAACATGCTGAGGGATTATGAGAAAAATATTACCGAGTCTTTGTTTTCCATAATTATACCATTATGCTTCTATAATACCATAACCCTTGGTATGCAAAATAAAACACTGCAGTTCACATCAGTCAATAGTCTCCAGTCTGGGCTGAGAAGTGTCATTGTATATAGTGCTAGCGTGTGCGATGTGAAGGGTACATATTGTGTGTTCAGAACCAAGGCTGCAATGAGGTTGTGTGACAGATACATCCTGAATAAGCATTTCCAGAAACACCTGACATTCACTGAATGTGCTGAGTCTGAGTCACTTTTTATTGTTGTGCATTCAGACGCCTTGTAATGTTGCCAATTTTTAAAAGACATAGGTTATCATTTTAAATTATGTGTGTTTGTGTGTCTATATGACTGTGCACATGAGTGCAGGTACCTGTGGAGACCAAAATGTGGGGCACAGAATAATATCCTGGAACTGAGTTACAAGTGGTTACAATACATTCGACTTAGGTGCTAGGAATTGAACTCAGGTCCTCTGCTAGAGCAATGCATGTTATTTTCTTTTCTTTCTTTTTCTTTTCTTTTTTTTTTGAGATAGGGTTTCTCTGTAGCTTTGGGGCCTGTACTGGGACTCCCTCTATAGATCAGGCTGACCTTAAACTCATAGAGATCTACCTGCCTCTGCCTCCCAAATGATGGGATTAATGGCATGTAATGCATGTTCTTAACAAGCCATCTCTTCAGCTTTTGTTGCCAAACTTTTAGCGACAGCCTGATTTAGTTGTGTGATCAGAGCCTAGCAAATAAAAAGGTTTAGGAACTATTAACTCCAATAGTTAGTGTGATCTTAAACAATTGACTTAATAATCTCGTTTCTCACTAGCAAACAGGGATGATGATGATGATAATAGTAATAAATAATAATAATATTGTTCAGTTTATAGAGTTCCCTAGAGAATTAAATGAATAAGTCATGTTATGATGCTAAGCTCAGTGCTGGTTACATATTACTCATTCATTAAATAAACATTTATCAGGCATTTTTCTCTGGTAGCATGATATAACAAGGAACAAGAAAGATGAAATCCTTCCTTCCTTAGGGGTATTATAAATGCTGATGGAGAAGGGGATTTAGGTATTTTAGTCAAGGAACTGTTAATCTGTCCATTCCAGATTTTTTCTCCATTTTCTACTCTGAAAATCCCAGTACTTTGCGAGCTGTCACTTAGTTTCTTTTCACTGTTCTTTTCTTAAATGAGTCAGTATTAAAAGCTATGGATTTCTTTTAAAGCCAGCTTTGGTCATATCTCATAATGCTTGAGATTGACAGTTTTTCATTGTCCATGTTCATCAAGGTGTTGGTTTGTCTCTTTCTATATTTGACCAGTTCCCTTTTCATTTTCTTTATCATGCCTATAATGCAAGCAAGGAGGCCCTTGTCAGAGGTTTGTCAGCTAAGCCACCTTATCTTGGACATCCAGCCTCCAAAAATGGTTAGCAAAACAAACCTCTGCTTTGTCAAGTACATCACCTCGAGCATTTCCTCCTAACAATGGAGGACAAACTAATGGAGAACATTGTAGTATTAAAGGCATGGACAGGAATAGTAAGATCATTTTCCTAACTCAGAAAGGATAAACCAGTCAGACTCTTCAGGATGGCTTCAGGTCTGCAAAAAGAATCGATGCAGTAAGATTAATGAGAAAAAAATTTCATGTTAGGGTAGGACAGTGATTCTCAAACCTGAGCACCCATCAGAATCCCCTTGAGGGTCTTCTAAGACACGACTTGTTGGGCAACACCCCAGAGCTTACGATTTAGTACCCTTGTAGTGGGGCTCTAAGGCTTTGCAGTTTTCCTCATTTCTCAGGAAATGCTGCTGCTGCCAGTCTAGGGGCTGCACTTGGAGACCCTTTCATCTAGGAGAGTGATGACAGAGCAGGCAATACTCGTGGGGGCTGGCTTAGAGAGGAAAGAAAGATGGAGGGAGAAACCATGAAGCTTAGGGATTGAATATGGGGGCAAGATTTGACTGAGAATCAAAGATGACTATACAAAGATACCAACTTCCGGTGACTTGGAAATTGTGAGATTCATGGAAGCAAACTTGCAAACGCCTTTGAGTAGAATTCAGTCACATAGCGTGTACTAGGAAAACAAATGAGGTTTCTCTTCATCTTTGCACTATGGCACGCAAGGCTAAAGTCTTCTTGCATTTTCTGTGGAAGAAGAGCCTTTCAAGGAGAAAGCACAGGTCTGGCTTTGCTCTCTTTTCTAGAATGTAACATTTGAGTAAGGGAAGGAAATGAAGATATAATGGGAGGTGGTAAAGAAAGTGGAAAGAGTTGACATATTCTATACATGAAGAGCGTGCCTCTACACTGTCAAGTGTTCAATATGTATAAGTAACTAAGACCAAAAGACACAACAAAGGAGTAAAACACCTGAGACCACCCAGGGAAGCTCCCAAGACAACTGATAACAGTTTCTAAGACAAGCCCTCTCAATTCCAGACTGCCAAACCTTTCCTTTGGACTCTGATGCCCTGATATTCTGACTGTTGCCAACCTAGTGTGAATTCTCTTACCTGTTTCTCTCTACTGGGCTTCCTGTAGCTAAGCAGAAGCTCCACAGCGCCCACAACTTCCTTGCGGATGGCATAGAGCAATGCGTCGCCCACATACACACTATGGTTCAGCAGTAGCTCCATGATCTCCAAGTTCTCGTTCTCAATGGCAATGAGCAGGGCATTCCTGCCCAAAGGATCCACACAGTTGATGTTGACATTGTAATAGATCTCAGCCTCTTGCAGTGCCTGCTTCACGGTGCCATAGTCCCCCTTCTCCACGGCACTAAGGAAGGCCTTCTCCTCAGCAGAGAGCTCCGTCTCAGCTCTCACGATTTGCAGGGGAATGCGGTCTCTGTACGGTGAGTAATTGACCTTCTTGTAGTACAGCTGGGCCATGGCTCACATCAACTTAGAAAGCTAAGTGTGGAGAGAGAGAGAGAGATGAAAGATAGTTATAGGTATCTGAAGGTTTCAAATGGCCACTCATCAATCCCTTTCTAATGGGATTTCAAAATTTCGAAGCATTTCAATGAAATCAATGTTTCACTGTTGCTGAGGAGCAGAGCAGCAGAAACCCAGGCTTTGGTCAGAAAGACTTGGGCTCGAACAGTTACTTAACACTCACCAGCTCCATGATCTTGGGTAAGTTACTCAAACCCTGTACTGCATTTGTTCCCGATATTATCCATATTAATGTTATTAGCAGTTATCAGTTACCATCTAGTGCCTACCAAGTCTCATGCTAGAGAACAGCGGCTACTCTGAAAAGCTACTCTGATAGTTTAAGGAGTTATAGATTACTAAACCTCCTAAGATATAGTGCAACTTCTACTGCCCTTTCCTTCCTTTCCACAGCCCAATATATCTCCAGGAATCCTTAATACTTGTGATAAGTGGTGCTAAGTTGCTGCTCACGTAGGGCCAGTTGCTTTTGATCTCCGGGGTCTGTGGATCTTTTTGTAATCTATTTTCCAAGATTACACTTGCCACTGTTCCAGATGCACATTTCAGACTGACAAGCTGTTGTAGGAGCTGGGAGTTCAGTTCAGTTGGTAGAATGCTTGGCGAGCATCCACAGAACCCTATGTTCGATTCCTCACTCCACATGAGCTGGATGGGTGCATAGCTGCAATCCCAACACTCAGAGGGTGGTGCAAAGAAAATCATAAGTTCAGGGTCATCCTTGGCTTCACAGTGGGCTCAAGGCTGGCCTAGGATACATGAGAATATATATATATACATACATATATATATACATATGTAATATATATAAATATATAAACCACACACACACACACACACACACACACACACACACTCACACCCCCATATATGGTTTAGTGTTAAGTGCAGCCCTGCTCCTTGATGAAGGTCATTGGAAAAGTGTTGACTTCCACAGGACAAAGCCATCCACAAAAGATAAGCCTGGAATTGCTCCCCAAAGCCACCCCTGATTCCTTTCTGCCACCATGCCAAACTCTGAAGCTAACAGACTGGAGAATCAATTTGACTTAATTCTGAGAAATGAATGGTCTGTTTTGTCTGTGCCAGATCTAAGGTCAGATCACACTTAATAGAACTGATGGTGAGGTGAAAACTAAATAGGTTTGTACTGAGCTCTGGCAATGTGGTTAAATTTTCTCCGAGAGACCAAGACAAGCAAAGCACCTGTGCCTGTAATCACACGGAATGAATCACAGGGTAGAGCTCTTGCTTTGCAATTTACAGATCAAATTCACTCACATTCCTCATTGACTGCTTGTACTGGCCCTGTGAGGTGGGAATGATGGTACTCTTCAGGGGCAGAAAATGAGATTAGATCTCTTAGCTGATTGGCTGTTCTGGCTCCACGGTCTCCAAGCTCCTCTGGAGTTAAGATGGCCGTATTTTAGTACTTTTCATTAAGGAACCATTTCAGTAGTGGAAGGAGACGGAAATGTGATAAAGAGCCCCTTGTCTCATCTCCTGGCTGTAAGAGAAGGCGTGGAACTTCCACAAACATTTACCTCACTCTTTCAGTTAATTACATCCCTGCTTTGGCAGAGTGAGAAGCATATATTAGATCAAGTAGCATTTGCAATTCATATCCGTGTGATCTTCTGGGAAGTTAGCATTTGAAGATGACTGTTGGCTGCCTTTTGCCATGAACAGGCCCAAATGACGAATTCTTTCTTTGTCCAGATCTCAGAAGAGCAGGTGCTGTTTGGCTCCCTCCAGAGACTCTGCTGTGTCTTTCGCTAGTGTGCTGGTTAGGTTTTGTCAACTTGACACAGACTCCAGTTACCTGGAGAGGGAGGCACCCTCAAACGAGGACTGGCCTCCATCTTAATCAAGGACTGACCTCTATCACATTAGCTTGATTGCAAATTAATATGAGAAGGCTTGGTTCACTGTGGGTGATGACATCCCTAGGGAGTTGGGCTCGGGGCAGCGTAAAAAAAAGTGCTGAAGCCGGGTGGTGGTGGCACAGACCTTTAATCCCAGCCCTCAGGAGACAGAGGCAGACAGATCTTTGTGAATTCCAGACCAGTCTGGTCTACAGAGTGAATTCCAAGACAGCCAGGGCTATACAAAGAAAAAGAAAAACTTAAAGAAAGAAAGAAAGGACGGAAGGAAGGAGGAAAGAAAGGAAGGAAGGAAGGAAGGAAGGAAGGAAAGAAGAAAGGAAGGAAGGAAGGAAGAAAAAGAAAGGTAGCTGAGGAAGCTTTGGAGAGCAAGCCAGTAATTGGCTGCTTCTATGATTCCTCTTTCTGTACCTGCTTGAGTTCCTGCCCTGACTGATGGACAGCGATCGGCAAGTGTAAGACTAATACATCTTTTCTCTTCCAAGTTCTTTTGAGTCATGGCGTTTTTTGCAGCAACAGAAAGAAAACCAGAACAGCTACTTTCAAAGAACTTAGCAGAGTCTAAAGGAAATTGGCACTCGGAGGAAGCACTTGCCACCGAACAGCATATGACTTTGATAAGACCAACTTTAGACTGCCTCTCTGCATTTGTGTCGGCATCAGAAAGTGGGAGGGGAGAAGAGGGTGAGTCCTGAAGACAGACTCAGGAACTCTCAGGCTTCTGTCACAATAACTTACTTGATCGAAGCACTTCCAGTGTGTCCGGTATCTACTAATCCCTGTGGTGGGGGTAAGATGGCAGAACAGACCCTGCCTTCACCATTTTCACCTGCACTGCTAAGACACGTTGGAGATTCTGATCGGCCTGACTCCACTATTTTCCCCTCCACTTCCAGCCTACCCCTAATTTATTCTATGAAGCACAAATCTGATTCTGTTTTGCTAATCTTTCATGATTTCTTGATTCTCTCTCTCTCTCTCTCTCTCTCTCTCTCTCTCTCTCTCTCTCTCTGTGTGTGTGTGTGTGTGTGTGTGTACACATGCACATATGGAGGACCAAGATTAATATCAGGTGTCTCACTCTGTGACCATCCGCCTTATCTTTTGAGACAGGGTATTTCACTGAACTTTGAACTCATGAATTTGATTAGACTTTCCCATCAGCAAATTCTGGAGGTCCTCTGTTCTTTGCCTCCTAAGTGCTGGGATCATACACGCTCATGCTCAGTTTTTTTTTTTTTTTAATGTGGGTACCTGGAGATGTAAAATCAGGTTCCCATGCTTGAATAGCAAGCACTTTACTTACTGAGCGTCCCAGCCCCTCCAGCCAGTCTTCTAATGGAATTAACACCTTTTATAAGGCCTGCAGAGTCTTGGCTTTTCTTTGCTTTTCTGACCTCTTCTTAAACTACTCATCCTAGCCTCAAATGTTTAACCCCATGATGACTCTTTTGATTCTTCTGTGATGCCAAGATTTTTCCAACTCAGAGATCTTTGATTCCAAATTAAATCATTTTTTTTTACCTTCTCCTTCCACCTTTTAGTTCCTACAAATATATCCCCCCAGAGCTGCCTTCTCACTGCTCTCTAAACCATCCCCTACACATCCTTCTCTCTATGGCCCTGTCTTCTCCCTCTTCAATGCTTACCACAATTTCTACTTATTTGTCTTATCAGTTCACTGTTCTTTTAAAATTAGCCTTAAAGCTCAAGCGCAAGAATTGTACCAGGTCCTGGTTTTCTGGGGCCCACTCCCTATTCAGTGACTGGCACAACCTGGATACTAGATTGATACTCAATGAATAAATGAGTCAACCTTCCACACTATTTCGTTATCTCTTTTCTTTCCTTCTCGAGTTCTAGCCATATGGAACCATGTTCCGAACTTGTTCTTTTTCTGACAAGTTCTTCACATCTGGGCATCACCCTATTCTCTCCACTTAGCCAACTTCTCCTCATATTTCAATACTTCCTCAATCATCAGTTCTGTTCTCTACAAAAGTTTTACCCAGTGCCTGCAGGAATTCAGCCAGTCTTTCCATTCTCTACTGGTAGGTCGATCACATTTCTTCAGTGATGCCAACTACACATTTGTCTTCCAATGACTAGAGTAGCAGGACTTAGGTCTCTGTATTCCCAGCACTCATATGGGTCTAGAACACGGCAGGTCGTAGTTTAAATAGGCATTTAAGGAACAAAACGAATTGGAAGTTAGCAGACTTAAGTACTAAGTAGGTGGCACTAATTTGATGCTTTGTGATCTCAGCAAGACCTGGAGGCCTTGGAAAAGGGTTCATGGAACAAAGCTTGTGCTATTTTTGGGGGGAGGATAAATTCAATATACAAATGTGAGGACCATTCTGCTCCAGAGAGGGAAGACCGTAAGTGATGAGATTGCTCATGGCTTGGCTGAGAGATTGTTGGGGAGAGCAGGGATGGCTATTTTTCAAGCTACAGCAAAATACAAGTCTTAGAGGTGTAATTCATAACCTCAGTTTTCCCAGGTGAGTAGTGACCTTAAAGATTTTCGACTCTTAAGAAGCCACAATAGACGAAAAGGCTGGATGAGCATTTTAGGGAGTCCTATGGCCATCCTACCAAGGTACCACTGTGGGGGAAACAGAAGATACATGTGTCCCAGGCAAAAATGAAATTGAAGGGAAAAAAAAACCCCACATTCAGTTCTCTATTATGTGCCAGGCATTATGTCGGAAGTTTGGGCAATAAAGATATAAAAATAATTATTATAGTTTTGAATAGTTAATGTTTCCTGGGCACTGTGCCAGGTGCTGGGACTGCACCATCACTACAACTGCTTCTAATAGTAATGAGCGCAGCAAGCAGTACCGTTCATCACATTCTTACTATATGCCAGATGCTAGGTATGTGGATTAAAATCATAAAGGAAGATGACACTAAACTCATGATAATTTGAGACTTGAAGCAAGCATAATTGGATGATATACAGTCAAACCATAGTCTAGTTTTTCACATTGTCTCTTACATTTGAACTAATCCACTGTTTTTTGTTTGCAGTAAGCTGCGGTAGGAGATTCCTCATAGAATCCTTAA